ATGTTTAGTATCACTGTGTATGTAATCATATTTTCATTTGGCTAATGACTATTGTAGATTTGCAGAACTTCGCATTGATCTAAAAATAGAAGTAGGGCAATGCGAAATTTCTCAAATAAGACCTGTTCAATCTTGTTTAGGGATGTTTTTATTTCAATATTTTAATATGACTAAATAATTAGTTCTGTCTTAGGAAGAAAAAAATACTTAAATTAGTTCTACTTCAGAACTACTTTTCATATGTTTTATTCCTTTTTAAGCAATTTCAATTATATTTATTTATAGGGAAAAATATTAAATAAACCCCGTACCATGCCGAAAAAGTCGATTAGGCCCTCGTACTTTACAAACACTCAATTAGGTCATCGAACTATTAAAAAACGTTCAATTAAGCCCTTTTAATTTGGTCGGTAAGTAACCCATATTTGTACAGAAAGTGTTTTGCGTGTGAAGGATGAACTTACTGATTGCAGAAATTAAAATTATTTCTGTGTCACATGAATTGCGATTATGTAATGCTTCTTCCAGGGATGACAGTCTCACAGCCTCTGGATAACAAGCAAAAAAAGTGTTATAAAGTCATAATTCAAAGAGATGGGCAAGTGTAATGCCCACAAATACTCAAAAGGAACTTAACTAAAAGTGTAATACCACATAAGCTGCAGAGTTATTCAAGAGCAAGTGTAATATAACATAAGCTACAATGCCCACTGTAACTCAAGAGCATGTGTCATACACTACTCATACCACATAAGCTGCAGGGATATGTTAATAAGAACGTATTAGTTCGTATGAGATGTGCAGCTAACTTTTATTTGAAAAACAATTGGTTCCAAATACAAGACTAAACAAACTCTCTTTAATAAGGTAAACTTGATAGTCTAACAAACTAGAACTCAAAGGCTAAATGTATTAACCATTTGAGATATTGTTTAGATAAAATTTATTCAAATGTGGGTAATACAGAATTTCTAATTGCCTACCTCTGAAAGGACAAAATGAGTAGCTAGAACACTTGCAACCATGCCAGCACCATCCAACCTAGAACCAGTCAGACTAAGAATCCTAAGATATTCTCCTGCTGAAGAGGACAAAGATGGAGTTAAAAAAGCATACCTTCTCAATAGACAATATAATCTTATAAATTTAAGAAAGGAGAGATTAAATTGATCTGAACCAGAGTTGCAAAATCCCTTCTACTATAGCTAATTCCTTCTCAACATCTTCCAGCTTCCTACTTTATTGGTCAGCTTTTAGGTATCTTTTGCCAAATCAATTATTCAGTTACAATTTGTATCACAAGCAACACTGTCTTAAATCTTTTCAGAGGCCAAAAAACAATAATCTAATGAAAATGCATGGGCTACAAGAAGGTAATTCGTCTGAACTAATAAAATTTGATGGGGGTCATACCGTTTTCTCAGGAGCAAATCGGAACCTTCCGTTTACACTAGCACCTGGTCCACCTCTCATGAACATACCATTAAGGATTGAAACTTACACATAGAGTTCGAAGGAGTACGTAAGATTCTTAAAAGCAAAGAAATTCAGAGAAAGTAAAAGAAAGCAATGATGGTTAATACTTAACCAGGGGGCTAAAAACCAAAATGAGAAAAATGCAGCAAGAAAACAAAAACTATTCAGAATCACCATAACTAACATTAAAATTTAGGAGAAAAACGCAGCAAGGAAATGCAGAGTCATATATTTAGCAACAGCTCTTATAGTAACCTTATTAGCGCATGTTTTCCAGAAACTTCTGAGTCCTTCAAAGGGATATCACTGGGCCCTACTCTTCCGAGACTAAGTGGAAGCTTGGATGTGTTACTCAGTTACTTGACTATACTGTATGCGGAAGGCCACAAGAAGAGCCTGATATCATCTCCAGCTTAAGGACACTTCCTGGACTTCTAACAAGAACATATGCTCAAATGTTTTACATGATGAGCTCTTGGTGACACAAAAACAGAAGAAAAAGTAAAACACTGCTTTTAATTTCTTAAAAAAATTACTTTGATCACTGATATACTTCGGAACAAACTCCATACTTTTATTAGCATCTTCACTTTTTCCTTGTTTTAGCTCTTCGTGAAACTGAGTTATCCCGTCCAGCTTAAGTGTTTGGCCCACTAACATATTATCTTCTGAAGTATCACTAATGTCAAGGGCAACACTATCACCTGAAATTATGTTTTAATCCTTTATTTCCATCATCTATCACATAAAAAACTAAGATATCTAAATACATTGAAAAATAGAAATTAACTGTCATTCTTTTTCCTTTGAATTTTCCCAGGCACAGCTGAACATAAGAAAAATAGTTTTCCATAACATTATTTTCATTTCCCAAACTATTTATGCGACCTAAACATGCCTTTCATCTAAAAAGGACAGGAAGCAAATCTAAAACTAAAAGGTGGTTAGTTACATTCTGTGTTTCAAATGTGATGCTGTAGAGGGGAGCCTTTGTTTACGAACAAGCTTGTAGGACTGAGGAGACCCGAACTAAATTAATAAATAAATAAATAAATAAATAAATAAATAAATAAATAAATAAATAAATAAATAAAAGTTTGAAAACATCATCACTCTTGTGTAAATAAATTCATTTCAAAATGTCATTGAGACATTTTTACAAACAGTTAATAGACTTAAGAAAACTAAAAACTTAGGACTGAAACTCCTAATGTTTATCACAATTTAAAGGCAATTACACAAACCCCATAGAGAACTGTACATAAATCGATTAGAAACAAGTTTCAAATCATCATGACTCTATGTAAACAAAATCATTTGAAAAAATCATTGACACAATTTTACAAACACTTAATTGACACAAGAAAATTAAAAACTTAGGAATGAACTTCATATTTATCAAAAATTAAATGCAATTACATAAACCCCATTAAAAGGTATACATGAATCGAACAAAAATAGTAAAAACTATGAAATACTTATAAAAGTAAGAATCTATGAGGTCACTTTGGATGTCTGCTTGCAAAGTCACTGTGAGTGGGGCGGGGCTTGAAGAGTGACTATGTTCAGGAGAGCTGTCAAAGGAGTTGATTTAAAATGTTTTTGATGTTCTGTAATAAACTGTTTAGAATTCATTTTGTTATTTATAAATTCAATCTCTGATATCACGATGGTGTGGGGTCATGCTCCTCTTCATTTCCTTCTCTCCATTTACTCTCCATTTCTTTTTCATTCCATCTCTCTTCAAAAAAAATAATTCAAAATAATAATTTATTTTCTCTACCCCACCATTTCTCCACCTCTCTCTATCTCTCTCCTAATGAAGATTTCCAGTTAATGGAGAGGAGCAAAATTGGATGGTGTAATCTTACTTGAATCTTGGTCCCTGAGGCCATCTCCAACAATCACCAAAACCTCCACCAAAATAGGGGAATTGTCATTTTTTTGCTCCAATAGTTACACCAAATCCTACACTATTTCACTAAAATGGTGGAGGGTTTGATTTCCTACGCCATATTTGGCGCAGCAATGGGATGCGCCATTTTTTACTCCAACGTTCAGCCCTTTTGTTATTTTTCGTTTTGCAAAAGTGACCCAGCGTTCAGCCCTTCTATTATTTTTCATTTTTTACTCCAACCTTCAGCCCTTCCATATGTGATGCGCCATATTTGTGCAGAGATGAGATGCTCCATATTTTTTCATTATTATGGAGTAGCATTTTATTAATGAAGTAGGAATTATTATAATATTATTGTAAAATTTAATTTTGTATGGTTTTAGCTTGTATTTGTGAAATATTGATTATTGTACTGTAATGAGTGAAATGTGTGAAGCATGCGTGAAATATTGATTATAGTAGTATTTTAGCTTGTATTTGTGAAATAGTGAGTGAAATGCAAAAATACATATTTAATGAGGGGATAATGTATAAATATATGATAATTAGATAATTAAATATAATAATGGTAAAAAGAATAAAAAAGAATATTCTTTTTTAGTGATAAAATGGTGTAACTGTTGGAGATAAAGTACTGTATGATGTGATGTTTACACCATTTTAGTGCAAAAAATAGTGTGAACTGCTGGAGATGGTCTGAGATTGATTTAAATTGGACTAAAAAAATAAGTATAATAGCACTAGCAAAGTAAATTTTAATCATTTTATTAAAAGTGTATTCCTATCCAACAAAAATTTCCTAAAAGGGCAGGGCCGTTGTTTAGCAAGTTAATTAGGTTCTCTAGAACAGGACCCACCAAAATTGGGAGCCCTAATTTTTTTTTTCAATATTAGTATTACAATATAGTTATTATTATTGTATAAATGGCAGTAATAAAAGGGAAAGTAAAAAATATAGTTATTATTATATAATATTGATATTAGTAATTTTCAATCACTTTTTTTGTATACGAACTGTTGAACACAATTAATTTTGGTGAACTATGTGAATTTCTGATTTTTATTTTTATTCATATATGGGGCCCCAATTTAGCAATTGGAACCAGGACCTTCAAATTTATTAGACAGCCCTGCAAAAGGGCAAACAACATAAAACATTTAAAAAACAATAGACTAAACTATCATTTTCCTGCAGAGACTACGGTGGTGGACGTCGTGACGGTGGTGGACGTCGTGACGGTGGCGGAGGTAAAAGGTATAGAGACGGTCGCCGTGAGGGTAGCGGAAGTGGCTACAGAGGCGGCGGGAGCCGTGATCGTGATTATGGAGGTGCCAGTGGCAGAGGTTACGGAGGTGGACGTGAACGAAGCTATGGCAGCAGTGGTGGTGGAGCATATGGCGGAAGCGGTTACTCCAAGGGAGGAGGTGACAAAGGAAGGTGGAGGAGTTAAGCTACTTTAATCTGACAGCTGAGTTTTTTTTTTTTTTTTTTAAACACGTTTTAATATATTTATTTATTTATTATTTTTTTTTAAGGGAAAAGGATAAAAACGAAAAGAACAAAAAGTACAAATATTACCCAACCCAAAGACCTTTATCCCCAAAAACCCCCAACTCCCCAAGTGATCTCACACGTCTTTAAAGTCCCACAAGTGTTTGAGATCTAGTCCTCATAAGATGTGATCGTTGATTCTTCTTCCTGTACATTTTTGTTTGAGTGTTCAAATTCCCAGTAGACAAACAATTTTCTCTCGTCACAAACAAAGCTTTTTCACAAATATTCCGATTTTCATCGGAATCCCAAAGGTCCTCAAGCGTCGAAATAGGAACTCTCTTCTCATTTTCCGAAATGTGACCAAGAAATTCATCCCCTGAGTATGTATTAAAAGGGTCGCCGAAAAATCCCTCAAAATTAGAAGCTTCGTGATCATAGTAGTTGGCCCTTGAAGAATTAGTTAGACCAATCGTTGGCTCTGGTATCTTTAACTTCTCACGAGCATCTTCCTTCAAAGCCACCTGTACATCTGTACGTCCCCTTTCATCATTAGAACCTGTCTTCAGATCATCCTGTTTACCCAAAATAGAGAGAAGAGTTTTTTCGAATTCTTTGATCAGAAAAAGAGAAAGCGAGTTCACTCCATTAGTCATAATATTTTGGAAAAAGTCCTTAAGGGAATCAAATCCAGAATTTTGTTCAAGGGTGTGGCTATCCTCGACAGATATCAACTCCACGGATTTGTCACAACAATTTGCTTGTTCTATATCAACTTGTAGCAAAGCTCCCAAAATAGAAAAGTCATTCTTATTAGGATGTGAATTATCACCACCCAAACAAAGGGGAAGTATATGCCTAGCGAGATCACCTGATGAGATATTTGTTGTTGCCGATTCTAGTTCCTGTGGACGGGTTGATTCCCGTAGTCGATTTATAGCTTGAGAAAGACCTTCTTTAAACCTTATGATGCCAAATCCCTTTTTGCCCTCCGGTATAAACAAAGAACTAGTACCCGAAAAAACTCTAACAATCCCCCAAAATGATTGCTATCAAAAATGATAGTAAGGAATTTGTTAGTTAGTGATTTTCCAGGCACAAGCTTTTTCAAAGATTCAATCAACCACATGGCTCCATCAAGATCCAATTCAATTTCAGAAAAAACACCATGTTTAGACTCTCTGATGTGAATTGATGAATTTGATAGATTGAAAGAGAAACGTTTACTTTCAATAAAAAAGTCTCGATCTTGATTTTCCTCCCATATACGCTCAATCTGTGGCACCTTTAGAACACAGGTGGACTGCCCATGCTCCTGAAGACCACGACCTGTGCACTTAGTCCCTGATGTACGGTTGGACTGCTCGTGCTTCTGAAGACCACAGCCTGTATACTCCATCCCCGATTGACGAAAAACATCTCTGAAGGCCGGCCTGCGCTGCCATCGAACTGTAGGAGAAACCTGGTCGAATCTGCCATCCTTACGCTCTGCTAGTACTCGTCGGTGGGACATTCCCAGGCTCTGGCATCTGCAACATCTCCAATGGCGATTTGTATGGTGTCGTTCCCATTTCGTCGGCCTCCGTGCGCAGCAATCTGCGAGTCGTCGTTCCCTTAGCGCCTCAAATCGCAGGTCCCCATCTCGCTGTCTGGAAGCTCTCTGACTATCCTTGTCTCTGCCAACGTTGAAAATCCGCCGTCTCCAAGCCTTGAATCTTCGGTGCCTGTCACTGTGCAGGGTAGATGAATCGGCTGCGGACGCCTCGGGTATGGCATCTGCCGCAACAGTAAACCGCGGAATGTGGTCACCCTGCACTTCTCGTGGTTTAAGATCCGATCTGGACTGCTGGCCATTCTCTGGAAGAGAACCGAATCGGATAGTTAATCCGTCCGTCCTCAGCCCTGCTACCAAGGCGGCAGCTTGTTTCCCTAAAATCGCCAGAGCTGCCAATTCATCTGACAGCTGAGTATTGTTGAAACATTCCGTTTGGTTTGTTAGTTTAGAGGGTGCTATGTGTCTGCCATATTTGCTTTAGGGTCTATTTACAATAGCTTTTGCTTTAAAAAAGAGTTTTTTTTATGAAATGAATAGAAGTGATTAAATAAAAGTTGATAGTGTTTGAAAAAAAAGTGATTTTGAATAGTAAAAGTTGATAGTGTTTGGTAAAATAAGTACTTTTTGTGTAATAGAAAAAGTAAAAGCACTTTTGACACGAAATCCGAGAAAAATAAAAGTTGTAGTGTTTGGTAAAATAAGTGTTTTTTAAAGCAAAAAGCTAAAAAGTGCTTTTTTAAAGCATTTGCAAACTAACTCTTAGTGTACTTTGACTCATCTTAATTTACAAAGTGCAAATTAATTCTAGCCATCCATATAATGTGTAGGGGTGGGATCGGTCCGGTCTGGGTCGGGTTTTTACTAAACCCGGAAATTACCCGGAAGATCTCGGGTTATGAAAATTAAGGACCGGAAATTACCCGGAAGGTCTCGGTCCGAGTCGGGTTTTTGGTAGCCCGGGTTCAGTCCGGGTTCGGGTTGGACCGGTTAAAGCCCGAATGTGAAACATCTCATTGTTCTTTTATATTTTAACACCTATTTTCAAATAAAATTAATCAAAAGTACAAACCGATAATAATGACACAAATGTTAGTCTCGAAAATCACTAACAATTCAAATCCAAAGAAGATAATTATCTTAATATTTCATATTAAGATGCATATAAATATAATATAGGTTTCTTAAAAATATTACGAAATAAAACTTATAGATAAAAATGTGACTACAGTTGCTATAAATAAATTTTCATAGTCATTACGCTAAGCATATTTGTAGTCACTAAAAGTTACTAAAATATTTTATTTATCCACCGTGGTTATAATCATATATTAGGAAATATTTATTAATTTATATTCATATATTATACACTGTATTTATTTTATATTAAAGTTAATTGTTTCAGGTTTTATCGGTCCGGGCTGGGTTATAGATTTTAAGGCCCGTTAATGAGCCCGGAATTTCGGGTTCGGTCCGGGAAATTCGGGCCGGTTAAAAAGAAAAAACTCGGACCGGGGTCATAATTCGGGTCGGTCCTAGGTCGGTTTCCGGGTTTCAGTTCAGTTTTTCCCACCCCTAATAATGTGAGTACTGAGTACCATGTATTTGATGGATAGATGGGAGAGCTTCCCCCACGTATTTAACATACATGTAGTAGTTGCTAGAAAATGGCAACTCACTAATACCACTAACGGCTGAATTTAAAGCTCAATATTAATGGCCCAATCAGTTGTAGCCCTTGATTTTGTAATATTGGAGGGATGAGATGAATTTGTATTTTGTATCCGATCTCATCCCTAGACACACACACACACACATAATGTACACACATATTAAATTAAATTATATGTAGTATATAAGAAACGCATATACATATAGATATACATAATTGTATACTGTTTAATCATGGTTAATGAATTAATACATAATATACTAGTACTAGAATAATAATAGCTAGTAATGATTAAAAATATTTATCATAAATTTTATATGAGTTTTAAGAGTGAGAAAGTGAGTAAATAAACACACACACATTTATATGTAATATAATATGTAATTAATTGTATTATAACTGTTGAGAATTTTGAAATAACGCACATGATGATAATATGTTTACTTATATTTTTACTTCAATTGTCTTCAATTCACAAAACCTATTCAAATTGAAGAATTATTAAAATTGTAGGTATTAACTTTTAACAAACACAATACTTCAGTGTAACGCGTAGATATATTATATAGCTTTAGGATCAAATGAGAACAATGCTTAACGTGATAACGTGCGAACACCACATTTACCCCCGATGTGAAGCACAATGGGCTCACACAATGCACAGGATGCACTTTTTCGTATCTAGCGCAATATTTACAAAAGTGTCACCGTGATTATTTATGTTAGCTAGCTCTCACATTGGACTAAATGTGAGTGTTCCCACATTAAGTATCGTTCTCATTGGAAGTGCACTACATATATTTATACTAAGAGATTAAAAGTATATGAAAATACGATAAATTAAATCTATATGGGGGCACCCGTGGGCACCCGTGGGGGACAACGGGGTGGGGCGGGGATGGGGTGGGTCTTGGAGTAACGGGGGATGAGGCGGGGATGGGGGAAACTTTTTAAACATGGGGCGGGGGATGAGGGAGTGTACCCCCGCCCCAAACCCGCCCCATTGCCATCCCTAACTTTGAGGTTTATGATATGTTTGCGAAGTTCTTTAATTTGGGGGTACTGATTGAATGTGAACCACACAATTTTTCTAAAAGTGGAAGTTGAAGAATTTTTGGGACGACCCAAAAAGGAAAGTTTAGTGGGACGGAGGGAGTAATTAACAATCTAATATATACTTGCGATTGTCTACAATGGGGTACTTCTTTGCCACTATGGACACTCCGATTGTATATATACACTCATCTCATGAGCCTAGAGTGTATTTACATAAAATTTACATAAAACATAAAGCTCGAGAAAATCAAACAAGTCCATTTGGTAATATTTATGAAACTAACAAAAACATGTCTTTGAAATATCAAAAGCATAATTTATATCATTATATATATGTTTATGTGGGTAAAAGCATTTAATCAATAAAAATAGTATGACAATAGTGCCCTGATCATGAAAATCATTAAAGAATCCTTTCAACAGATTGCCAAATTCATAGTCCTAGTTGAACAACTCATTTAAGCTCCGAAATTAGCATTGCCGGTCCTACATAAAATTGGGCCTGAGTCGAACTTTTTAAAAAGATCTTATACGTTGTATTTGTTTTGTAATACACCATATTTGAAAATAAAGGATTAATATCACAAAAAGTTGAATACTTTAATAAAATTCTTACATTATAATATAATGGTACTAAATTAATTAAAACAACTAGTTAAGTACAATTTGTCGAACAATTTTAGAATAAGTCATTCCTTATAGCAAATAGAAAATAGAAATTAAGAAGTTAGTTCATTTGGTACGTCATTGACAAATCAATAAATCATCAAATTAGCAAATCATTCTTAAAGCTAGATATTTGGAAATAATAACATATCGGTAAATTTGGGAGTCCAGATTTGTACTTCACTACGTACTTGGTTAACTCTAGTGTTCCGACTGTTTTGTTACTTCTGTAATGGACGATTTAAGCTAAACAAGGTGTAACTCCTACTTTTTAGTACATATATATAAAGTAAATGTATTAAATTTTTTGGGCCCTAAGGCCCAAGCCTCACTGGCTTAGGGGAAGGCACGGCCCTGAAAATTGGTCTAGAATGACGTATGAAATATAATTTATTAAACATTAATTATTTTTTAAGAGTGACATTTGAATAGAGAGATGTCTCCATGACCTCATTAGATTCCATAAGTAAATACCAACAATAGGTGTTAGAATACTTTTTTTACTGTTTGGCAAATATTATTAGCTTTATTCTTTGGACCCCGATATAAATTTTGGAAAGGTGACAACTCCGGTACCCTCCTAAAAAATGGGGTACCGTACCTACCATTAATTTGATTGGACCACATCACTTTATCATTTTTAATTTACATTTAAATAATTCAACTGCTACATTCTCATTGGTCCATTTGGACAAAGGTATGGTACCTTATGGGTACCATAGAATCTACCTTTTGGAAAATCAAACTGCTGGTCCAAAGCGGGTTCAGCTCTAAAGTATATATGTGTTCCCCACATGGCCACATGCATCTATAAAGAATTGCATACAGATTTGTATAAATGTATTCAAGTTAATATTTCAAATAGCAAATGAATCACAATTGAATTGAAAAGGCAACCTGCAAATACTTGAAAAGCGCTTAAGAGTTCAATACGTATGTATATATGGTATTTCTTATTATAAAAACTGAATAATAAATGCTGATGGATTTTAATACATTTGCTAAGCAAGTACACTAGAACTCCCTGAACTTTTCATCACTATATAGTGGCATTACAACATCAGGGAGTGTCCATTACATATCAGCCTTGTAGACTTGAGTGTTAAATGTTAAAAGTGAAATATATAAGCAGTAGGAACTTTGAGGCTCAGGTTGAATATGTGATCTGCTAGAAAGTAATGAAGGTGTGTTTACATCAGATGAAACATCAATAAATTAAATGAGGGCATGTTTTAAGAGCATGGTGCTGAATACTTCCAAACAAAACACTGATAAAGATAATCGGAGTACAAGCTTTATTAAACCTAAAGAACTTTGAACTTGCAAGAAACATAGCAATTAATTATTTAACTCAATGAAATTTAATGTCTTTGTAAGCATTGCTAATTTTGATATATAGTATTAGTAAAAGGTATGCACATAAAAAGTATTGGATGGCAAACGAGATGATTTAAAAAGTTCATATGCACATTTGTGCAAACACATATATAGCAATCAATTCAAGAGTAGAGAGGAAAATTAAGAAACTAAGCAAACGATAAGATAGGGATGGAGGTTTAAGTATATTTGTGACATCTTAAAGACAACGCAGACCGAAAACAAGTTAACAACGCAATCTGAAAACAAAGAACAAAGTAGAACAACACAAAGTGAATGGATCGTATAACCAGAAACCAAATATAATTAGTAGAGAGTGAATAGCTTAAACGACTATGCGACGAAAATAAATCCCCGGTAACCAAGGATATGTGCCAGCAACTCTGAACAGAAAAGAAACTAGAGAGACTACTGTTCAGAACAAGGACTAAGGTGTGGTACAAGCGTGATTAGGATTTAGGAGGTGATGCGGGTATACGTACCCTTTAACGGATGTTAAATCTCATACGGCGTATAAGGATAAAAAATCAAATGAAAGAAGGGTGTTGCTTGGCGCACCGGTATTATTGCTATGCGCACCCCCTATCTGACAAAAATGTCCCTAGTTTAGTTCTGTTATAGTAATTCATCTGCTTGCTATACGACACATGTAGATAGTACTTTGCAATTTGCAATAGTATGATAATAAAGATAAGGGAGTTGGTTCTCAATCG